TAACAAAAAATTCCTTTTACGAAATGTTTTAGAAAAAGATGTTAAAAATATTGTTTCAAAGCAAATTTTCGCTAGATGGCAAGCCATTTTATCGTCTTTCGATTTTGAGGTTGAAGCCATTAAAGATACTTGTAATTCTTTACCTGATTTTCTTACCGGCGAATTTTTGCAGGAAAAAATAGAAACAAATAAATTTTTCCCTTCATATGAAGAATTTGTTAAGCAAAACTTAATGGGCACTCCCATTAAGAATAAAATGACAAGAGAAAGTTATGGAAAAAAGTGTGTGAATATTTCTTCTCAATTACCTGGTCTTTCAACAACTCAATTACCAATACCGGCCTTTACTTCAACTACTTCTGTTACAAATAGATCAACCAATTACCATGAGGCCCTTACCGGTGCATCATCATCATCCACAATTAATTATCCTTATGTTAATAAGGATATAGAAATATCAATAACCTAAATCGAAAAAGAATATACTAAATGTTCAAATTTTTTGAAAGTCACTCGAAAGGTATTTCCTTCTAATGGTTCCATTTTGTTCCCGAGTCACTTTCAAAAAATAGAAAGTTTTATGAGTTTATATTAGCTGATAAAGACTTTATAATTCTGGAACATATTCATGATCCCGAAGATGTTAAAAAGGTTTTATATTCAAAAGTTCAAATAAAAAAGATTTTCTCTCTCTCTGATTGGAACCAGAATCCATACACTGAGAGAAAATTTAGTCAAAACTTTTTAACAAGTTCTTTCAACTATGAGGATCATAAAAAAGCTTGGTATAATACATTTTATTTGAGAAATCATAATCATTCGTGGTTCATGATGATTCCACAAGGTTCAATTACAGAATTTCCTTATTGGTTTCAAGAATGGTTCAAGTATTTCAGATGTTTAATTAAAACTTTCCCTACAAAGATACTACAAGGCTTTGAACTCTATGATAAACAATTAACCAATTTCGGACAAGATAAGTTACTCTCATTTGTAGCTACTTTTGAAATTCCATGGATCTTATCCTGGAATTATCAAATTAAACAAGTTCAACCACTACCCTTTCCTCCTATGTTGGTCAGAATTTTCAGTAACAAATGATGGAAAGATTACAACCAGATCCAAGTCTGTGTTCAAGCCATTCAAAGATATTTCAACTCTAAGAGACATCTACCTTTAGCGAAAAATCCAAAGAATCTAGATTTCTTAACAGATAAAAGCAAATGGCAGGCTGCTCTTGCCGCTGCCTATTCAATTGAAGAATTCAAGAAAACGCTACAAGATATAAATAGTCAAGTATAGCAAGATGATGAAGATGAAAATGAAGCTACTTCTGGCTACTCACCACTCCATGAAGACGATTGTTATGATATAAATCAGATAGATTGAAGTCTATCCAGTTCAAATAAATATCGGATATGTTCAAGTAAAATTGCTTGTTTTATCAGGCTCTTATAAATATGTAAAAGTTGTTTGTCTGTATTAGGCTATGTAAAGTTGTTTGTCTATATTAGGCTTATCCAACTTTTGTTTGTATTAGGCCCTATCCTATTTGTTTATATTAGGCTTATCCATCTTTTGTAGATAAGCTTTATCCTATTAGATGATAATTATCCGGACTTTAAATCAAATAAAGTCCATACTCTTCTATAAATAGCTAAGTATGTTATGGAAAGGCGGAGGGTTTAGAAGAAGCGTACTTGTGCTATCTCTACCCCTGCTCTTTAAAAGGCTTTGTACTCTCTTTTTTTATAAGTAATAAAGCTTTCTTTTGTACAATTATCGTTTTACATCTGCTTTGATTTAAATTACTTTTATTATATTATTACTTTGCTAAAGTTAATTATTATTTGCTTTAGTTCATTAACATGATTTATACTTATGTGTATCATATTACTTTGTCCGGACTCTACTCTCCTTTCCATTTTAGTTTAACAATTACTGTCACTCCAGAGTTAAATACATATTCATCTCTTTCTCCGTCCCTCTACACTTCCAGTTAGCTCCCTTCTGGTCAAGTTGAAGTGAAGAAGAAGAAGAAAGGTGCAATATGTTAATCCCATAGAGAATATGGAAAAGTAGGCGGATGAATATTGAAGTCAAGTAAATAGAGGCTACCAAAAGTTATAGAAACAAAGCTTGTATAGAGGCTTTAGGTCTTCATAAAATTGTTTATACTTGTTTAGATCAGGTCAATGACTCCACCTATAGACCAAACTAATAAAAAGAGGAATTTTTAAAAAATTATTCTTACATTATTCTTTTTTTTTTTTTTTCTAATAAAAAAGAGGAATTTTTAAAAAAATTATTTCTTACATTATTCTTTTTTTTTTTTTTTAGTGTATTGATTAAATAATCCCTTTTTTTTTTTTTTTAGTGTATGATTAAATATCCTCATTTCAACAAAAATTATTTAGTATTCGAGAATCAATCACAGTAAAAGAAAAGGAAAAGTCCCTGTGGTGATGATGATCTTGCGATAGAGATAAAAGAAAAGGAGAAGTCCTAATGGTGATGTTGATCTTATAGAGAAAACGAACATGGTTTGTGGTGGAAACTCTAGTAACCAAAATTTAATTAACAATTAACAATTCATTTAATAATAGAACTTATAACAAGTCGGGATTGCCTTTAATTACAAAATGATTTAAGCCATTTTGATTTATTCACTGTTATATGCCATTTACTCAATTTATATTTATCCAATACATGCAATATTGTTGTTCACACTTCTAAGTCAATTAAAATATATTTATAGTTAATTTAAATTGAACTGCTGCCTAAATTGAACTTTAGGCATTCTAAACTGCAGCCCAAACTCCCTAAATAATTTATATATTTTGTTAGAAAACTCCGTTTTAAAACCATTTGAATATTTAAAACATGAATTTTTATGATAATACTATTCCAAATAAAAATTCATTTCCAAAAAATATTTTTCATCTAAATGAAATATTTTCAAAATGCATTTGTCTAAGACTCAATTTTATTTTCAAAATGTTAAAATGGTGATCGACTCAAATGATCTTTTAAATTTTTTTTATTCATCGGGCGGTTCAACATACTGAAAGAATAATTATAGAATACAAAACAGAAAATAGTCTCCCTTTTACTCATCATATTGGTGAAAATTCTTGCAATCGACTTAGATTGTTTACATAAGTAAGATCAATCAGATCACACCTAGTTGGCAAAAAATTAAAATTTTAGGATCATGAAATATATTCAAGGAAATTTCTAAAATTGAGCCAATCAATTAATTGAGAGCAAGACAATAACTATACTTGATTTGTAGGCTTCCATAATACTTGAGTATTTATCACTTGATTTTTTTTTTATTTTTACTTATAATTAATTAAAACATTACTCCTTCCCTTCCACTCTAATAGCAATATTTCATCTTTTCACAAGAATTAAGAAAATGATAGGAATACATTAATTTTCTAAAAATAAATAGTAAAATACTTAAATTATCCTTTTTAATATTAAAAGCTCCTCATTTAATTTTACTAGAAAACATATGCTAATTTCACCTCATATCTATTAAAGCACCACCATTAGAGTAGTACTTCCATTTCATTTTTTCATGCCTTGATATAATGAAAAACTTTTGGTTACATATATAATCAAAATTGTAATTTTATGTTTGTATTTTTAGTTACGTATGTAAAATGTCCATTTGTTAATTTGTTACAATCAAGGTAAGACGAAGGGAATTTAGAACTAATTAAGACTCCGTTTGTTTCCGTAAAATAACTCGCAGAAAAATATTTTGTTCACAATTTTTCATTGTTTGGGGCGCTCAGAAAAATACGTCAACGGAAAATATTTTTCTGGTCAAAGGAAAATTAAGTCATTTTTTAAGGAAAACAACTTCTCATTTTCGAGAGAGTAAAATATTTTCCGGACATTTCATTTTCGAGAGAGTAAAATATTTTCCGGACATTAGCAAACCTTATAAAATCCATATTTTTCAATTTATTAATCAATCATTAATTACGATCATCAAGTTCCACCATTTTAGCACCGGCAACCACCACTATCGGCTGCCGACAACCAGCACCACCGGCGGCTTTTCCAAAAATTTATATTTCTTTTGCTATTCTTTCATATTTAAACAATAAAATTTTTAAAATATATAATTTTCTATTATTATTAATTTATTTTACCAGTCTTATGAGGATTAAAATTTAAATTTTTAATTATTTTTTCAATATTTACCAATCCAAACAACGGAAAATTAACAATTATTTGAAAAATATTTTCAGTACAATTTACTGAAGCAAAGGAAGCCTTAAATTTAAGGAAAATTAAGTCATTTTTTAAGGAAAACAACTTCTCATTTTCGAGAGAGTAAAATATTTTCCGGACATTAGCAAACCTTATAAATCCATATTTTTCAATTTATTAATCATCATAATTACGATCATCAGTCACCATTTAGCACCGACCACCACTATCGGCTGCCACAACCAGCCACCGGCGGCTTTCATAATTTATATTTTTTTGCATTCTTTTCATATTTAACAATAAAATTTTTAAAATATATAATTTCTATTATTATTAATTTATTTTACAGTCTTATGAGATAAAACTTTAATATTTTTAATTATTTTTCAATATTACAACCAAACAACGGAAAATAAATTATTTGAAAAATATTTTTCAGTACAATTACTGAAGCAAAGGAAGCCTTAATTTTTAGTATTTTGTAATTCCGTGATACAAAGAGGTAGGTAGTTTAAGCAAGAGAGACAGTCAAAATCACAATACCCATATACCTAGATATAGCGAATAAATAGTTATGTTCTGAATTAATAATGTTCAGTACAACATAAAACCATACAAATACACGAACGTACGAGAAACAAAAAGTTAGCAATGAATCAAATTCACCACTCTACTCTCTCCAGAAACATATATATATATAGCTCCTTAAAACCCGCAAACACCATCAAATATTTCCCCATTTAACTATTAGACTGGGTCTTGTACCATCAGTTTTTCCATCTTCTTTCGTTTTTGGTTTCTTTTCTTTTCTTGTTACCTTCCTTCCCAAGAAATGCATTCAAGAAACCAAAAACGAAAATGATTCAGCGTATTCTACAACTTCGATCATAATAATGAGTTGTTAATATTCAAGAAAATCGTTTTTGTTTGTTTACGTCGTTAATATAAGAAAGAAAATTAAATAAAAATGGCATCTCTATCTTCCCAACCATCAAAAAAAGGTAGAAATCCAGGTGGGTCGAGTGGGTCGCAAGCAAATCGAGCTATAGGTGGACAGAGTGTAAAATTTGCAAGAAGAACTTCAAGCGGGAGATATGTGAGTCTATCAAGAGAGGATCTTGACATGTCAGGAGAAATATCAGGTGATTACATGAATTATACAGTGCATATTCCTCCTACGCCGGATAATCAACCAATGGATACGTCGGTGGCGGTGAAAGCAGAAGAGCAATATGTTTCGAATTCTTTGTTTACCGGTGGATTCAACAGCGTAACGCGTGCACATCTCATGGATAAGGTAATAGACTCTGAGGTTACACATCCTCAAATGGCTGGTGCTAAAGGCTCTTCTTGTGCAATGCCTGCTTGTGATGGTAAGATTATGAAGGATGAAAGAGGAAATGATGTAATGCCTTGTGAATGCAGGTAAGATATTGACTTATTTTTGTATAAAAGTTCAATTAACTTGCACATAATATGTAATTAATTAATGGGTGTTCTTGATTTTCAGGTTCAAGATTTGCAGGGATTGCTATATGGATGCCCAGAAAGAGACAGGTCTATGTCCAGGATGCAAAGAGAATTACAGAGTTGGAGATTATGACGATGATTTTCCAGATTTTTCTAGTGGAGCACTGCCATTGCCAGCTCCAAGCAAAGGTGATAACATGACAATGACGAAGAGAAACCAAACAGGAGATTTCGATCACAATCGATGGTTGTTCGAAACAAAAGGAACTTACGGGTATGGTAATGCCTATTGGCCTCAAGATGATTCGTACGATGACGAGGGTGAAGGACTGAAGGGTGGGATCTTAGAAGATATGGATAAACCATGGAAGCCACTGAGTCGCACAATGACAATGCCAGCAGCCATTATGAGTCCGTACAGGTAATCTGTTCATACAAAATAACATTAAAAAAGAAAATGATGATAATATTGAAAAAGAAAAATCAATACATGGATGCAGGTTGTTGATTCTGGTCCGGTTTGTGGTGCTGGGATTCTTCTTGCACTGGAGACTTACCAATCCAAATGAAGACGCAAGATGGTTATGGGGTATGTCAGTGGTGTGTGAAACATGGTTTGCCTTTTCCTGGATCCTGGATCAAATTCCCAAGCTCACTCCTGTGAATCGGTCTACTGATCTTGAGGTTCTTCGCGACAAGTTTGAATCGCCATCGCCATCCAATCCTACCGGACGCTCTGATCTTCCAGGTGTAGACATGTTTGTGTCTACTGCTGACCCTGAGAAAGAGCCTCCCCTCGTCACTGCCAATACTATTCTTTCAATTCTAGCAGTTGATTACCCTGTGGAGAAAATAGCTTGCTACGTTTCTGATGATGGAGGTGCTCTACTTACGTTTGAGGCAATGGCTGAGGCTTGCAGCTTTGCTGATTTATGGGTTCCATTTTGTCGAAAACATGATATCGAACCGAGAAATCCTGATGCCTACTTCAGCTTAAAGGTTGATCCGACTAAGAACAAAAGTAGACCTGATTTTGTGAAAGACAGAAGAAAAATAAAGAGAGAATACGATGAATTCAAAGTGAGAATCAATGGACTTGGGGACTCCATTAGAAGGAGATCGGATGCTTTTAATGCGAGAGAGGAAATGAAAATGCTGAAGCACATTAGAGAAAGTGGAGGTGATCCTATGGAGCCTATAAAAGTCCAGAAGGGTACATGGATGGCAGACGGCACACATTGGCCTGGAAGTTGGTCAGTTCCAGCACCTGAACATTCCAAAGGCGACCATGCCGGAATTCTTCAGGTCATGCTCAAGCCCCCCAGTCCTGACCCATTAATGGGAGGTGCAGATGATAGAATCATCGATTTCACAGATACCGATATCCGCCTTCCAATGTTCGTATATGTCTCACGTGAAAAGAGACCAGGCTATGACCATAACAAGAAAGCTGGTGCTATGAATTGCTTGGTGCGAGCATCTGCTATTTTATCTAATGGCCCCTTCATTCTCAACTTGGATTGTGATCACTACATTTATAACTGTAAAGCTATCCGAGAAGGAATGTGCTTCATGTTGGATCGAGGAGGCGAAAAAATCTGCTACATTCAATTCCCTCAAAGATTTGAAGGCATCGATCCTTCCGATCGATATGCTAATCATAATACTGTGTTTTTTGATGGGCAAATGCGTGCCCTTGATGGTGTACAAGGTCCAGTTTATGTAGGAACTGGTTGCATGTTCAGAAGATTTGCTCTCTATGCATTCGACCCTCCGAATACAGAAAAGTATGAACAAAAAAACACCAATGGCACGGAAGCTGCTCGTCCACTCGCAGCCACAGACTTCGATCCTGACCTTGACTTGAACCTAATGCCCAAGCGGTTCGGAAATTCTACCTTGTTGGCAGAGTCTATACCTGTTTGTGAATATCAAGCTCGACCCCTCGCAGATCACCCTGCTGTCAAGTATGGACGTCCTCCTGGTGCTCTTAGGGTGCCACGGGAACCACTTGACGCCACCACTGTTGCTGAAGCTGTCTCTGTCATTTCTTGCTGGTATGAGGATAAGACCGAATGGGGTGAAAGAGTAGGATGGATTTATGGTTCAGTCACAGAAGACGTGGTGACTGGTTATCGTATGCACAACCGTGGATGGCACTCTGTCTACTGTGTAACCAAGCGCGATGCTTTTCGTGGATCAGCTCCAATTAATCTCACTGATCGGCTCCACCAAGTGCTCCGTTGGGCTACAGGTTCTGTTGAGATTTTCTTCTCTAGAAACAATGCATTTCTTGCCACCAGGAAGCTCAAGTTACTTCAACGCCTTGCCTATCTTAATGTTGGCATTTACCCCTTCACCTCTATATTCTTGATCGTCTATTGCTTCCTCCCTGCACTCTCTCTTTTCTCAGGACACTTCATTGTGCAAAGTCTAAGCATTGTATTTTTGGTGTACCTTCTAACTATAACCATTTGTCTCATCGGGCTTGCGGTTCTCGAGTTGAGATGGTCCGGAATAGGATTGGAAGAGTGGTGGAGGAACGAGCAATTCTGGCTCATTTCCGGAACAAGTGCTCACTTCGCTGCCGTCGTGCAAGGCCTTCTCAAGGTGATTGCAGGGATTGAAATTTCTTTCACATTGACTGCAAAAGCTGCAGGAGACGACAATGATGATATTTATGCAGATTTGTATCTTGTAAAGTGGACTTCGTTGATGATTCCACCAATTGTGATTGCTATGACAAACATAATTGCAATAGGCTTTGCATTTATAAGGACAATTTATACCACTAATCAACAGTGGAGCAAGTTCATCGGCGGAGCTTTCTTTAGTTTCTGGGTCTTAGCTCATCTCTACCCGTTCGCCAAAGGTTTAATGGGAAGGAGAGGGAAGACACCAACAATTGTGTTTGTTTGGTCTGGTCTCATTGCAATCACACTTTCTTTGCTTTGGATGGCCATTAGCCCACCAACCACCACCACCACCAGCACCGATAACACCGATAACGGCGGAGGATTTGAGTTCCCATGAACAAGCAGTAAACATCATCCAAGGCAGGATGCAGCCAGCTGAAGAGCAAGCAAAAAAGACAAACGGGACAATGGAGATTCAACAGTAGAATTTCAAGCATTGCATACCCATTCAACTTACCATCATCGAGTTGAGATCTAAGAAACATGTAAAAGATTTTTGTAATTTTTATTTTTCTTTAGCTTTCTTTCTAATATGTGCTGTAAAATAGGAAAGTTTATAAATTAAACATTGTATTAAATATAATCGCAATTGTTCAATGCTAAAACTTTCACTAGTCTTAGCATAGTAAAGCATGTATGCATGTACTGAGTTCCTGAAGGACAGCAATAAAAAGTTACATGATTGTCTGCCAATTTTGAAGTTTTAATCTTTGCATACAAATCTACTTTTTATTCCCCCAGGCTGTGTCCACAAGTTTCTGTGGAACTTTTTATTGCATCCTATGCACAAAATCAAACAAGTTAACACTTGATCTTACAAGGACCTTCAACTTTTTGGATATGATGTCTGACCTAAAGATGTTAAAACAAAGCAAAATTTCTCGGTGCACTCTGATTTCGGAGCAGCTCTCTTTTTCATAGACCTGAGATTTAATCAAGCAACAAAAGGGTAACTGTCTTGATAGAACTAAAGAAGAAATAAAGTGCATCCATTTACCTCCTATCCCCCTTTCCAAATGCAATCAGAAACAATATAACAAATATATTTAGATATAGCTGAGAGAATTCTTCTGCTATTAATTACAAACTGAAAAAGGCAAAAATCTAAATATACCTAATTAGATGGTCTCAAGCTTCAATTGTCAGCAATGACAACACCCTTACACTACAAAATTAGCCTTGACATCAATCCTAACTTAGTTTCTTTTATCCTGAGAGAGTAATCTCCAGCTGTGCTTTAAGTGACAACCATCTCCGCATTCTAAATATCCAGATTTTCAAACGGGACACGCACAAATAATTGGCCATGCAGGGTGACCACAGCAGATGTCTGATGTGGATCAATTCGTGAAGGTAAACTGACAACCTGAAAACAGAACCCAGTGTTACATACTTTCATCCAGTTTCGTAGACCACAATAGTACTGGCTATCCACTGGTGGGACAAACAAGATTCACACGGTAAACTAACAGTTAATTTGTTTTCTTCTGTCATAATATTCCTTGGTACAGTAATGTTCAAATGTTTCCAATTACTTCATTGAACTAATGAAGGCCAAATAATTGGTCCATAGAATCTCCAGGTTACCTGAACATTCTAAAAACTCTGATCTATCATACAAGGGAAACACAAGTAATTTGAATCCATTCATCTTTAGCAAACCTTTTTAAATGGTGTGACACCCCAAGGATTATCCAGTTGCTCTGGTTGACCCGATATAATCAAGCGTCCTGCTGGATCAGATTGAACATGCACCTGAAAAATGAATATTATTGGCATAGAAAATAAGAACTTGTACAATATTTGAGGTCAACATCAACTGCTCAGGAACAGTTCACAAGCACAAAACACTTTATGTTGCGATATGCAATTAAAACAAAATGGCACTCAGAAGAGGGCTTCAAGATCTTACCTCCTCACGAAGAAGCCCTGGAACTAAAGCATATATTTCAAAGCAGTCATTCTGCCAAATTTAAGATTCAATAATGAAAATTTAACAATGAATATGTAGTGTTCTAACACAAAATTAAAAATAGAAAAAATCTTACAGTTCTTTGCACATTGATCTTCACCCAGTCAGCCGGAGGTCCAATATCAATGACCATTGTATCCGCTCTGCAAAAAGAAAACCCAAATCAGCACTTTCAAAATAAGGGTATTGTGTTCCACAGGATTAAAGTCTGAGATAACAAACTAGTGATCCTAACTGTAGCTTCATCATTTTCACGTGAGGAACATGGACAGCTCGCTCAACGGTTGATGGTTTTTTACGCTTCAGCAAACCTGCCAATGATCCAAGTTAAGAGAGCACCATTTACAATTAAAGTACTGAAGAAATTGATCCAGTTAATCAATTATACCATTTGTTTTCAGCTGCTTGTCACCCTTTTGTGTGGAATTCAAGCTTTTATCCTAATTCGGGAGAAAAGAAAAAGGCAAAAAATAGTTAAGTTAAAAGAACTTTGCCTTATTGAAATTATGAGAATAATACACATGATGCTACAAGGCAAACATAATCGCATAAGAATTTAAAACAAAAACTTTAATCATTGAGCTTAGAAGTTCTCCACACACCTTAATGATTGGATCACAAACCTGACCATTACCGAGAAGACGCTGAGAGTGCCATCCCTGCATGGCACGAGCAGCAGCATCCCTTCTTGCCCTACCTGATCCAAGAGCTTGATTTCCAGGAGTCTGCAATGAAGCTTATAAGGAAAATTAAGTAGACTCCTGGAAGAAACAAATCTAGACTCATGAAAAAACAAACAAAAAAAAACTAACAATAATAATTCTCACTTAAAAGAAAAGGAAGCAAGAGTATCTCATTCAACTGCAAAGACTGAATATATAGTTGAATTTGAGTTGAGGTACTAAAGAACTGTAGCCAGGTAATCATACTTCACTGCCTTAAAAATAGCCTTATATCAGTAGATAGAGTCAATGCAAACAAAAGCGACACATTTTTCATTCTCATACCATCAAATGAGGATAGAAAATTTGAACCCTGACATAGTAAATGATTCATTAAGGAAGTAAATAGAAAAGAGCCAAAGACCCCATAACAATCTAAAGTTAGAATATACCATCTTACCATGTTTGCAACACACTACAATCCAGAAAAATTATATTTTTGTACTTAGGCTGCAAATGAATCAAACTGCTCGTGAACTATTCAAGGTTAGGCTCAATAAAAGCTCGACTCGGTTCGAGTTCGTTTTCTAAATGAACAGCTTGAATAGAATTTTAGGCATGGGGTAGTTAGGCTCACAAACTGTCTCATTTATGAGATTCATGAATGGACTAATTCAGTAAGTTTGTGAATAGGCTCGTTTAGTAAGTTTGTGGGTTAGTTCATGCTTATTTACAAATTTATTCATACTTATTTTATTTTTGGTAAAATTTATAATATTATCCCCATATTATGTCAAAATTAACTACTATATCTCCTTATTTTTTAAAATACACTACTTTGACCCTATATTTTAGTTCCGTTAAATCATATTGTCATTCCGTACAACTTAGTACATCCCTTATTGTAAGTCAAGAAAAAGTAAGGTTTAGAAGAGAGAGACAAAATTGATTTGACCAAAAAGCCCAGAAATCATAATTATGTTTTACATAGCTACAATAAGTGGTTCTAATCACACACATTTCTTCTAGTATCGGCTGAGATATGTGCCTTGACTTCTCGTTGTTGCTCGCCGTGTCAATCATCTGAAGTCTCTATGGGAAGAAATCAATCAGCTTTGTTCATCAATGAATTTCAAGCCTTTTACTGGCCACCGAGCTGTTGCAATGGAGCTTCACATCTCCGCAATGGGTCACCATTGATAAATCTGTTCAGATTGCTTGTGACACTTTTGGGAGAAGTGAGCTCTGGTTAGTAACACTGATGCTTTTTACATTTTATATTGCATGTTAACCCATTTATTTTCTGTTACAGAATCGATGCTCTGTTGCGTTTTAAACCATTTGTTTTCAATATCCCGTACAACATCTGTACATTTGGGGATTTCTTTCCGGATCCATGCAACTGAAGTTGTTATTTTTGTGCGCACATCTGTGGGTGATACCTGACATCAATACAATTATTCGTTCTAAATAACTGTAGAAAATGATGAGCCTGGCTATGGTTTGGGTACTGAAGGATTGATATGGGGCTTGCATGGGTTTTAATTTTGATTTTCATTTCTCACTTTAATATTCCTAATATGCTTCTTGTTCCAAAGTTTGGATCTGGTTAACATGTACTTATGAGATCTTTGTACAACGTGTAGGTTACTATAGCTACTTGTGTGCTAGATGTTTTGGTGCAATCATATGGAAAATTTAAGACAGGAAGATCCAATTTCATTAACCACATGAATTGCTCTCAAAATGAAAGTAATGCAGCATGGTGGAGTTGAAGATCGTTCAAGTGTGCTTTCTTTTTTTTTTTTATCTTAAACGAGGGCTTTTGTGTCTTTTCCTTTCTATTTAAGGTCCAAATTCAACTAAGTTCGAAGGAAACATATATTGCTTTTGTATTCTACTTTTTAATAATTATTTCAAAAATTATTATATTATAAATGTATTGCTAAATTATGATATAATTTTGGTTATTGATTACAAACATACAAGGAAATGAAATTATGGATCAATAATTATATAATATTTTAAAAGTAGAAAACACATTCTTATGTTAAAACTACATAGTTTCGATGTGGATCTAACTAAAGTTATATTCATAGTTACATTCGCATATATTTTTTAGTATGAATTATGTATAATCATAAGTAATATCATTATATATAGGGTTCTTTTGTATCAATAATAATACCAATATTTTAAAAACTAGTCTCAATAGTGTTTCTATTTATTAGTAATACTTATGGATAATAAAATAATTATTAAATTTAATAATAAATTTACTAACTATTATCGAGCTTGAACTCGAGCTCTTACCGAGCCAAAATATGAGACAAATTCAAGCTCGAACTCCAGCTAATAAACCAGCTTTAAATGAGCCAAGCTCGAATCTAGCTCAAGCTTAATAATTTTTAAACGAGCCGAACTCCAGCTTTTAACAGCATTCACAAACCAAACCTGAACAACTCAAAGCTCGATTCGGCTCGATTCATTTACAGTCTTATTTATATCTCTGCATAACAATTTTTATCCACCCAAATATTGAAGTCCTCAATACAACCACATTACAGCATAAATAGGCAAAACTTAAACCTACATATTCTAGATAAACAAAAGACATAAATAAACATAATTTGCATTAGCTATTGCATTTTCAGCTTACCTGGTTTTCAACCCTTACGGGCTCTGTCAAAGAACCATCAGGAAAAGGGAGCTCCCCGCAACGCACTTTATGCTTTTCATATTCAAGTAATGCCTGCATAAAGTGAAGATTGTGAAACCAGAGAACTGAGCATAGAAAGAAAATATAAAGTTAAAATACCATAGATATACTCAGCAAATAGAGGATAACCTTCTCATAAAAATTTCGGAATGTCCAAGAAACAGTAGTGCAGGTCCTGTTCAATCACAAACATGAAGAAGAATTGTCAAATTAATCTAAAAATAATAAATAAAATTTATGCAAAAGAGCAAATTTGACCTTCATAGCCAACAAGTGCATGGATATTGATGCTAGTCATAATCTAGCGAAGGATATTATGAGGTAACAGGAACAGTTTCTTCCGGTATACAAACTCAACAGAGTCAAACACTAAAAATGGAAACATTATATGTCCAATCAGTGTTCACCTCCCCAAACACTGAGACTACCACAATTAGCATACTTATATCCAGCAGACAAACCACAACAATTTGCTACATGCACCCAAATATAACAGGTACATGCATTGCTCCAATCTTCTATTCCCAAAAACTACTCAATAAGACACAATACAAGTTAGATATCAACTAAAGTAAGTTTTATTCTTACTTTGGGGGATTAAATGATTCTCCCACTTGTCGCCATAACTTGTATGATGTCACCTGCAAATGGTCACAAACAAAAAGAAACCTTGTAATACCTTCTCAGCAGATTCTATCAGATTCATGATTTTCTAAACAGTTAATGTGATTGAAATGTCACATGAAATTGCAACTGAAAATTTTTAAAATTCAACAGCAAGTTGCTGAAAAATACTGAGCAGACACTGAAATCAAGAACAATAGAAGCTAGAAATAATGTGAATGACAATGACAAAGTTCAAACTCTAGTAAGTTATTTAGGGAAAAAATCAATAGGACAGTTCTTTTCACAAAGGACAGACATTTTTATTCTTTGACTAGTGATTTCATTTTTTGCATTTCTTGTTCCGCACAAGTTCAACTTCATATTAAATTGATATCCTTAATGCAATTCACCACAGAAAGGACTTCCCAAACCGCAGTCACCTTTCCGGGTCTAAAGTTAACATCAATAATAAACAAGGATAGATGTAGGATAGATGATAAACAATGATAATATATCTTCACTTGCTCTTTTATAAAGCCAGAAACTTCAGGACTACAGTAATGTGCCATATTAAGCAGAGACTTAGGAACTTGGTTAACAATGTTCATTTTGGCTCAGATGTACTTGTTAAAAAAGAGAGAGAGCATTGAAGTTCTATAATATTTTTTGGGGGCATAACACAATGGATTTTATTCATAAAACATATGTGGATTTGATTAGTTGTTATACAATTAAACTATTGATCACAAAAAACAAAGTAGAAATACTTTTAATCTGAAACAGAAAAAAAGGCAGAAGAGCTGGGGATTTTGAAGCTTTTGTAGCACTGTCTGTAGTAAGGAGACGAATGATATAAATTATTCTGTTTTTCAAACATAAAAATAATGACCATAGGCCTAACAAAAGATTCAATTTACGTATTTGTCCTTTGCAAAAGAGAGGTGAACTTTTGGGTACTTCTCCCAATTATTTAACTAGTGCACAATATGATACAAGCTGGATCAAACAAATACAGAAAAGGAATTACTCATGGAGCAATCAACTGACTAAATTCCCTTTCCAATCTTCAACTGATGTATTATTCGCTGATATTATGAATACATGTCAGCTTGTTGAAAAATATGAAATTAACCATCCATCATTTATAGATTTGAAAAGATGATAATCAAATTCAAATTAGAACAGCCATAACAAAATGGAAAAGTTGTACGGCTCAATCAAATACATATATAAGGTATGCACACAGTAAAATTGGGGGAGGAGAAGGAAGGCTCCTGATGTTAATTGAAATCACTCATGAAGATTTAACTGTAATTGACATATCTAATCAATTTAAATTATATTTTGTCTTATATTTCATTAACCAAACATGCCCTTACAAGGTTCAGCAAGCAAAGAAGGATGATAGAAGATTATGTATTTATTCATAGAGAGTAAGAGGGCAAACCTGTTCATACCCTCCCAGTTTGATCACTGCTCTCCATAGCCTAAGTCAAATGAGTTATGGAAAAGGAGGATTATTAACATGTAGCTCGAAGGGTTCTAACGAAGACCAAACGAGCTCCCATAAAAGAAGAGCAAAAATAAATAACAACTGCTTACTTGAGTAAATTGAGTTCTTCTTTATAGAATTTTGGGGCCTTGAATTCTAAGTTATTCTCTTTATAAACAGATTCAACATCCTTCAAGAAAGCTGCTTGCTCCTCTTCTGTTCCCGACTCATAGCCATCAACTGAAGCAGGTCCCACAAGGAATGATTTGTTTGGAGTGTTCATGGAGACCTCATGCTCTTCATCCAACTTCGGATTTGCCATCTCCTTCTTAATCACTGAATGTGGAGACAAGTCTGTTATTGTCACCACATCTTTGAATGCCTCCACTTTCTTATCATCTTCAACTTTCTCGCTGTCTTCAGCTTTGGTCTCCAATTCCATAGGCTTCCCATTCAAGACGTTAACATGAGCATCCTCATTTTTGGCATTGCAATGTCCTTTAGCATCTGCACCATCGTTGCTTTCATTTCTATGTGTTCCATTGGATTCGGCTTGGATGTTGCCACTACTAGTTCCATTAATATCACTAGAAGCTTTGCCAGCCATGTCATCAGGAAAAGTCTCAAGACCTTTGTCATCAGGAATTTCCCCATCCCCAACCTTTTCAGCTGGGATTTGTTCTTCTACTTCAACATCTTTGGTAACAACATTCTGCTTTTCCTCTGCCCTTGAATCCTCATTTTCAGACGAAGGAGGCACTTTGGCTTCTTCTTCAACTAGTGAACCATTTAGAATCACGTCCACGTCTTCCCCTTCCCCCGCTTCTTTAGAATTCGCCATTTCATTACTACTCATTCTAATACGCTATTGCTGGAAAATTCCTATAAAAATTTTACAGCCGTTAAGAGAGATTGACGGCTAAAAAAAACCCTAAAAAGGGTTTAAAACAGAAGCAAAAAGAACACAGAACAAAAAAAAAAAAGCCTTGCAAAACCAACAAACCGAGGAAGAAAACGTTGAGTAAAAGAAAATGCATGCAAAATTGGTAAGAGAAAATCAAAAAAAAAAAAAAAAAAAAAATCAGACGAAGAGCACTTTGGCTTCTTCTTCAACTACGTGAAACCATTAGAATCACGTCCCCACGTCTTCCCTTCCCCCGCTTCTTTAGAATTCGCCCATTTCATTTACTACTCATTTCTTAATACGCTTATTGCTGGAAATTCCTATTTAAAAAATCTTTACAGCCGTTAAGAGAGATGACGGCTTAAAAAAAACCCCTAAAAAGGGTTTAAAACGAGAAGCAAAAGAACCACAAGAAACAAAAAAAAAAAAGCCTTGCCAAAAACCAACAAAACCGAGGAAGAAAACGGTTGAGTAAAAGAAAATGCATGCAAAATAGCGTAAGAGAAAATCAAAAAAAAAAAAAAAAAAAAAAAAAAAAAAAAAGAAAGAAAAAACAGAAAAGAAAAGGAATTTGAACAAAGAAGAAATGTACCCCTTTGGCCGTATATCGCCAAAAACGAGAAACTGCAACCGCCACCTCTTCCCGCAACCGCACGAGCAAAAAAGAAGCAAACTTTGAGACTCGCGCCTGTTGATTTTGTCGTTATTGTGTGTTTTATTCAGTGAAGAGAAGAAAAGGTGAGTATGAATGATAGTGTATGTGAATTCTTTTGGCAGAAGAGAGCGAAGGAGGAGCGGAAGAGCGAGCAGTCGCCAAGGCGTGATATGTTAAGACTTGTTTCTCAGTGCATTTTTATATAAAAATAAAAAATAAAAAGTTTTATCTGTTCACGTCATTTTTTCAAATGGTTGAAACTCGGCCCGGCCCGGCCCATTGTCACCTCTTTCTCTTTAGTAGGAAAAATATGGAAGGAAAAAATAATTAAAAATAATAATTTTTATTTTTTTAGGAAGTGAAAAAAATAAAGAGGAAAGGAAAATTCTAATTTTTATTTTCAAAATGAGGGGAAAATGATAAAAAATTATAGTGGATGAAAAGAAGAAAAATATTTTTGTTTCAAAATTTTACCTTTACCCTTTATTTTCCTTTTTTATTATTTTCTTTCCTCTTATTCTTTTTCTTTCCAATTCTCATAATAGACTTGCAATTATTCAATATTGTAAATATTTTCTCAACTTATAAAAATATATTCACTCCCTTTTTTTTCCATAATTGGGAGATGCAAAAAGGTTTTGGTGCTTCCTCCCAATAGCATTTTTTTTTTTAATTTAAATTTTTTTTCTTTATTTTTCTATTTTGATTCACCAACCTAATTGAATTTTTAATTTAATATTTAATATATAATATTGATAATTGATAACTTTTAAACTCTAATCTAATTATCTAACCTAATCCAACTAAAATCTTAACTTTTAAGTTTTTGAATTTTATATAATCTCTACATTCTTCAATAAAATTAATTCACATTATAACTCATTCAGCACTAAAATTTCAGCCATTCGTGACCTAATTAGTTTGTTTATACACAATCCTTATTTATATATTTCTGTTTTATTTCTATTTCTATTTAATGCAATTTGATAATGTTGTGCGCGATTAAGTTAATTAGATTTTCTATCACTATAAGAGCAATTTTAAGAATTTAATGATGGTTATCAAACACTTAATTTACTAGATTTCATGAGTCTCTTTTACAAGCATGTGCAGTATGATGAAAGACCTGATTTGTTTTAATCGTAGGTAAAAGACCTAACAACCCATCTATAAAAGATCCTCTGTCATCTCGAAAAATAATTATTATTAGCTTTTTAAGTAATTTATATTTAAATTTAAAATCTATTCAATTTCAAATTAACTTTATATTGACTTCTAATGTTTGAGGTTTTTGAATTGATTTACAAATAAAAATTTTAAATTACATTACGCTAATTTTATTAAAATTACTCATATTATAACTAAAAAAGTTTGACTATTAAAATAATCTCTTAAAATAGAAAATTAGAAAAATATATAGAAATATCAATTATTTTATGAATAAAAATCATTATTTAACTGAAGGTTCCTGCTCTTACTCTCAATCAAAAGCTTAATAAATTTTAATAATAATTATTGATTAAAATAATGGTTCGCGGGAAATTACGACTAGCAGAATAAACCTACCTATCCGAGAAATTAATAAGATTATTATAAGAACTCAAAACTCCACGTGGGTTTTATTTTGTTTTGTTAAACGTTGAATTTTAGAGATTTGTAAGAATTCCGATATTTATTTTTGATGAATGAGGAGGACCAATAAACTACAAAGATTACCCAGAATTGCAGTATTTATTGAAGATGAAGCGGGGGATCAAAGGGTAATTTTGTCCACAAGAGAATCTTAACCCAAAGTTTACTTTTCCCTACTTATTTCAATCAAAGAATCGAACGGCTAGGCATTGAAGATGGAATAGGAAGCATAATAGACGAATAATACCTTTAACTAAGCTCAATTATCCTCCACGCTCGATCGATCAATCGATCGATCTCTGTCTCTTCCACAAAAATCCCGTATGGTCTCCTTGAAGAATTCCAGCAAAGGAGAGAAAAACCTTAAATTCAAGGGTTTCTGTGCATCCATTTTCTTTTTTAGAAACCCTAGAAATCTCCTTTGCCAATATATAACTAAAGATTCTCTCTTTCTGTGATTCTTGCACTGAGGGTTCTCGTGAGTTGACAGACTCTAAGAAAGAAACACAGAGAAAGTTGACTTTGTAGTTATAACTTAGACGGTTAGTTCTTTTCTTTCTAATTTATTTACAGCAATTTGTTTCAATATACCCATTAGGTTGAAAGATTGTAGATTATACGTTTATACTTTACACGCAGAATTGGCATTGTAATCGAGATTTCGAGTTGAACAATTCATTGGTTAGGGTAGAGTAGGATGGAAAACGAAGTCCTTGAATTTGACATAGGCTTAGGAGGTCCAGACGATGATGGGGTGGACATTGACCACGCAGTTGATGATGAAGACATGCCTGATACTCCTCCTATTGCTACTGCTCATCTTACTGGTGCTGGTAGTGGTGAAATCTTCCTTCCTGAGGGTGACCTGTTGGATCTTGAGCCTTATGAGGGCATGGAGTTTGAGTCTGAAGAGGCTGCAAAGGCCTTCTACAATTCGTATGCTAGGCGTGTGGGTTTTAGTACCCGTGTCAGCTCATCCCGTCGTTCCAGGCGTGATGGAGCTATTATACAGAGACAGTTTGTGTGTGCCAAAGAAGGGTTTAGGAATTTGAATGAGAAGCGCACTAAAGATAGGGAGATCAAGCGCCCCCGTACCATTACTAGAGTTGGATGCAAAGCATCCTTATCTGTAAAAATGCAGGATTCTGGAAAATGGGTTGTCTCTGGGTTTGTTAGAGAACACAATCATGAGTTAGTTCCACCTGATCAAGTCCATTGTCTCCGTTCTCATAGGCAAATATCTGGTCCTGCTAAAACCTTGATTGACACATTGCAGGCCGCCGGTATGGGCCCTCGTAGGATTATGTCTGCCTTGATAAAGGAGTATGGTGGAATTAGCAAAGTTGGTTTTACAGAGGTTGATTGTCGGAATTACATGAGGAACAACCGCCAAAGGAGCTTAGAAGGAGACATCCAACTTCTTTTGGATTATTTGAGACAAATGCATAATGAGAATCCCAATTTCTTTTATGCTGTGCAGGGGGATGAGGAGCAGTACACCGGCAATGTGTTCTGGGCTGATCCAAAGGCCAGGACAAACTATACTTATTTTGGTGACACTGTTACATTTGACACAACCTACAGGTCTAATAGGTATCGCTTGCCATTTGCACCGTTCACAGGGGTAAACCATCATGGACACCCTGTTTTGTTTGGTTGTGCTTTCCTAATAAATGAAACTGAAGCCTCATTTGTCTGGCTGTTCAATACATGGCTTACTGCAATGTCTGGTCGTCATCCAGTGTCAATCACCACCGATCATGATGCAGTGATAAGATCGGCCATCATGCAGGTTTTCCCAGAAACTCGCCATCGCTTTTGCAAATGGCATATCTTTAAGAAATGCCAAGAGAAGTTGTCCCATGTGTTTCTGAAACACCCAAATTTTGAGGCAGAGTTCCATAAATGTGTTAACTTGACTGAGTCAATTGAAGAATTCGAATCTTGCTGGTTGTCACTTGTTGACAGATATGACCTCCGGGATCATGAGTGGCTTCAAACAATATATTCTGCTCGTAGGCAGTGGGTCCCAGTATATTTGCGGGATACTTTTTTTGCCGAGATGTCCATAACCCAGCGAAGTGATAGCATGAACTCCTACTTTGATGGTTATGTTAATGCTTCAACCAATTTGAACCAGTTTTTTAAACTGTATGAAAAAGCTCTTGAGAGTCGGAATGAGAAAGAAGTGAAAGCAGATTATGATACAATGAACACTTCACCAGCTTTAAAGACACCATCTCCGATGGAGAAACAAGCATCTGAGCTTTACACGAGAAAATTATTTATGAGATTTCAAGAGGAGCTAGTGGGTACGCTAACTTTTATGGCGTCCAAGGCAGAAGATGACGGGGAAAGTATTACATATCAAGTAGCAAAGTATGGGGAAGATCATAAAGCATACTATGTCAAATTCAATGTTTTGGAGATGAAGGCATGTTGTAGTTGCCAAATGTTTGAGTTCTCAGGTCTTCTTTGCAGACATGTTTTGGCAGTCTTTAGAGTGACCAATGTGCTTACTCTCCCCTCTCATTATATTCTAAAACGATGGACAAGGAATGCCAAGAGCAGTGTTATATTAGAAGAACGTGCTACTGATGTATATACTAATTATCTAGAATCTCACACCGTTCGATATAATACCCTACGTCATGAGGCATTCAAATTTGTAGATGAAGGTTGTAAGTCCCTGGACACTTACAATGTTGCAGCGAGTGCTTTGCAAGAGGCTGCAAGAAGAGTTGCACTTGCAACAAAGAATGAGGGAAGAGGCACCTTGGTGAATGGTCGTGGTAGGGGAGAGTTGGCAAGCAATGGGAATGCTAATAGGACAAATTTTCCCAGTGGGAATCATCAGGGCAGCTCCACCCAACAATTGTCTCAGGTTAGAATCTTGTTTAGTTCTTTTTTATCCATCTCAATCACAATCTCAGAATTACAGGATGAGCATCATATTCATTTGCTGATGCCCTTTGCGTGGTTTCTTCAAAACTGCAATTTACATATACTTTTTCTATTTTTGTCTATTACTTGTTGCTAACTACTTGTTATTTTATATGGTTCCTTTGTCTTTCTGAATACCGTAAATTTTGCTGATTTTGTGTGAAAATCCTATTATTCAAGCTTGTATTCGTGAGAGTTGAAGAGCTGTTGATTTTGGCATAAAAACACTGCTCAGTTCCAAATTATGGTGACTAAAGGAAATATCTCATAATAAATTGGGTTCACACTACCAAATAATGAGAAACCATTTTGTATGATTTTTTTTTTTCTTTTGGTCTGCATAGATCTTATCTTAAGACCGGAAATAACAATGGGGAGTAATAGTGAAAAAGGACTTAGTGGGAATATGTTTTTGAAGATCTGGCCCTAAACCAAATGTAATGGAGGATATGGTCCTATATAGCCTCTGAACTAATATGGGATTATGGTTTTGGTTGAGTTGAGTAAATTTTATGCTGGAATTTTACTTATGGACTGACCTTGTTATTAAGATACCTGAGTATTCTTCAGTTTTTTGAGTTACAATGAATTCCCCTAGTTAGTAGGTTTTTTATGTTGTTTGTCGTGCTATTGCAATTCATAGTCATGCTTGGTGAGTTTCAACCTTTGTAAGTTCTGAAATGAAAGCTGTTGCACTTAAACATGTAAAGATTCAAAACGGAGGATTTATTGAGACTAGCATAATACCGGATGTTCAGATGACGTGTGAATTTTTGCTCTTGGTTTTTAAAGCAGATGCTTTTTGTGTTTGTATATTGTTCCTCATGTCTGGTCTAACAACGTGGCATATTTTTATCATGAGCTTCTGACGCAAGTTCGAATTGTAACTTTGCAGGATGACATGGACAAGAAGATCCAAGAACTCACCAATGAGCTGGATTATGCAAATCGGAAGTGTGAAGTTTATCGGGCTAACCTGCTTTCGGTTCTAAAAGACATTGAGGATCATAAGCTACAGTTGTCAATTAAAGTGCAAAACATAAAGATTAGTATGAAAGACAGTATCTAAAGTTGCAATGCAGTTCTTCTATCTATCTTGGTTCCCCCTAAATTTTGGAGTGCATATGCTCACAGATCTCTAAACCCTCTTTGACCTTTAGGGTAGCATAGATTTTGTGAAATCCCAGTTCATGTTCTGCTTGTACAGTGTACATTTCATCTTTAAATGCATATTTTGAAAAATGGATGACCTTCTGTCTAAATGGCAACTGTAAATATTTTCTTCAGATAATTTCTTCGGCCCTCATGAAACTACTTGTCGATTAGCATTATAGGAAACTTGATGAATCTATGCGTTTGTTTTGGCATAAAATGGCTAAGAGCATCTCCAATGTTAACGTGATGAGATGGATCTGTTTTTAAATTTTAAAAATAAAATATCTTTCTAATGTATTAGTTTTGAATCTTTTTTCCGTTTTCTTTTTCCTTTTCTTTTTTGGGCTCATAATTCAATATGCAACCAAATAAAAGGTGTAATAGACAATGTACCTTAATTTGACATACTAAACAAACACTAGCATTTGAGAATACTTTTTAATAAATCTTTCTATTTTTCTGATTTGGCAATTAAATAAGTGCAATCTATATTAACATCGAAAACCCTCTAGAAAACCCTCTAATAAAAGAACAAGCATTATATCCAGACATACAAAGTATTACTAATGGTTTTCCAGAGTATGCATCGAAACCTGTTAATGAAAAAAATAGGGGACTCCACTGAAATCTGGTGACAAACGATACTAGAACTCAGAAAGAAAATTTTAATTTCTAAAATAAATGTCTTTGGTACCAAAATAATAATCTAAATAAATAAATAAGGGACAAAAATCCTTTAGGATTACAGTGCAACTTGCTATGCTTGCGTTACAGGTGCTACTTAATTTAAGTCGAAACTTAGATGCATACTTCAACAGCCGATCTACCACTGCATGACAACCAAGAACAGGCTTACCTGAAAGCCCCCTCTCTATTCCTTCATTGTCAAACGACATGCCATCCAACTAAATTACAGCAAAATCTAAAAATATGATACATTCTAAATTACATCATAACTCCTGGGCAGCTCAAATTTCCACAAATGGTGATCCCAGAATTAGTGTGGAACTCTCAATTACTGTCACAGCGTAGACACACATAATCATACAATTTCCCCCCTACCTGAGCATATTCATTCTTTCAAACTGAGTCTTGCATTTTGAACTTTCACTGAGAGCTTTAACTTCTGTTCTTCCATATCTCTCAAAACAGCCAGCAAGTTTGCTCTATAGACTTCACAGCGTTGATTTGTACTCTCTAATTCAGCAGTCAAATCACGAATTTTCTTTTCCTTTTCATCCTGAGAACAAATTAAAGGAGAATAACAAAGGAGGAGATCTTGCATTAAACTCTGATCGTAATAGGAACGCACCCATCATAACAGGCGTAATAATTGGAAGATCTATCTTATTGAACTGCAAGGGAAATGCTACTGCTCGAGTTTGTGAAACACCTTTGCATGCTAAGATTGCCAGAAGAACAAAATCTCCTGCTTTCGAACTAAGGTTACCAGAAGACACATGAAAATGCTAAGCTAGCATGTGTTTTACAGCACAAAAACTCAACAAGGAAATGCATGGAAACATGCTTCTTTTTTCTACAAATAATCATATATATTTGATCATGTGGAAAGTAGAAGACAGGTGGACCATGCCATTAAGTTGGAGCTAGAGGCGAAGCCACTGGCATTTGCCCGCCTATCGCATGGCACCACTTAAGCTGGAAGAGTTACGAAGACAGCGCAAAGAGTTGCGGATACATTCAATTCAAAGCAAACATGATGGGTCCATTAAACAAGACAACAATGTTATTGTTGAGCTATTCGATCAACTTGGTAAGGCCAGGTACTTCACCAAGCTATATTTACGGTCTAGATATTACCAAGATCACATAGACAATGGGGACAAGCAAGTCCTAAATCGTAGTAGTGCGATGCTAGCAATTTGTTTTTGATTGGCTTAATTTTCCTTTATTTCTTTTAGATACTCTAAATTGATTTTCAAGCCCTGATTCTTCATTTCTATAAACAATAGCCCTAATATCCTAAAATTTCAAGTTTTTCCATGCTATCCTGCATCAGAATCATTTATTCATCTAATATGACGTTGCTTTTGAGTTATGAATTATAGTTTTATTTGTATTGAAAATTGTTGCTTGCTTAAAAGAACAGTCAGTGAGGAGTTTGAATATTGCTATTACAAAATTATTGCAAGAGGGAAGTCGAAAACAGGAGTTACTCTCCCAACTGGTTTTCCATATGATATGAAGGCTGAAAAGTAGATGTACTTTGCATGGGAAGTTACCTCAATTTCTAAATTGAAATGCATCCGAAGTGCACATGTTTTATATGGGAAAATATTAAAATATAAATACCCTTCCCCCCACCCCCACCCCCCACCCCTGAATTAGTAGAAAAGAAGGACTACAGATAATATTTTGTTGTTCTCCTATCTCCTTAATACATGCCTAGTATAAGTACACAATATCCCTTTCCAAAAGTTTTTTATCTAAAAAACACACATGTATGCACGACGCATGTGATCCACCTTTTCTTTTATTCAAGAAAAGTTTGATGTTCTATGGCAAAGAAGGAAAAGGAAAAGAAAATAGGATATGGTAATATTGTTAATTTTCCGATGTGCAATAAATGCAGTGCAGTACTAAAGAATACAGAACTAGATCAATTTATTGTGTCAGAAGAGAGGTTTCTAAGTTATGCTATGCAAAAGTCATTAGAAACTAATGAACCTAAAGTCAGGGGAAACAGTATTTTGACTTTGAAACTATTAATCCTAACAACTACATAATCTCAAATGTATAAAAATTTTGTTTCATCTAAAACTCTGAGTGACAAGGACAGCGGCGTTTTATTAAATCAATCAGTTGTATATCTTGAGACAAAAGCATAAGCAATAAGAAGAAACCCTAAAACTATGTCAGGTTAAAAGGTAGGAGAAACTAACCACAGACTGAAATGAGGATGATCTATTTCCATCAACGACATGCAGCACTTGACTAGTTCCATTGGTCAAAGCTCCACTCTCTGTGGCTTCTGAACTTTTATTCTTTGCAGCAGCAACCTTCTTAGAAGCCTCTTGTAAAGCATCCATTGCCACATTATAAATGTGAATAGATTTCGCCCCTTCTTCAACGTATTTGATTGCTTCCTGTCGCAAATTGTTATAGCGAACAGTTAAAGATTCTCGAGAATTGTTTGGCAATTCAGAAGCACGTTCATCCAACACAGCTCCAGTCTTGGCATTTCTTGTCCATCGTTTCAATACATATTGTGGAGGAAGTGTCAGAACATTTTTTGCTCTAAAAACAGCTAATACATGCCGACAGATTATTCCTGTGTATTCAAACATTTGGCAGCTGCAGCTAGCTTTCATCTCAAAAGAATTGAAACTAACAGTATGTGCTTTGTGTTCTTCCCCAAATTTGGCCACACGATACGTGGTGATGGAACCCGAGTCATCAATCTTGGTTGCAGGATTAGCAAGAGTCTCAACCAATTCCTCCTGAAATTTCATAAAGATTTTTCTAGTATAGAGGTTGGCAGCTTGTTTTTCCATAGGAGAAGGTGTCTTCAGAACAGGCATAGTGTTAGTGGTGTCATAGTCTGCCTTCAACTCTTTCTCATGCCAACTTTGTATAGCTTTTTCATACTGTTTGATAACCGTTTGTATGGTAGTTAATGCATTCACATAACCATCAAAGAATGAGTTTAAATCTCGACTTGCCTCACTTTCAGAAAACTCTCCAAAAAAGGTGTTCCGCATATACACTGGGACCCACTGATGCCTAGCATTGTACATAGATTGTAGCCATTCATTGTCCATGACGTAGTATCTTTGAATAAGTGATTGCCAAGATGATTCAAACTCATCAATTGTCTCAGTCTCATTAATACACTTCTTAAATTCAATTTCAAAAGTAGGATGGGATTGGTATATATGAGCCATTTTATCTCGTGTTTCTCCAAATATAACCTGCTTACTGTATCGATGGCGAGTTTCTGGAAGAACTTGTGCAACAGCAACCTGAATGAGCCGATCAGGATCAGTCGTGATAGATACCGGGTGCTGACCAGACATAGCGTGAAGCCAAGTTTGAAAAAGCCAAATAAAAGAGGACTCGGACTCATTGAGAATGAGAGCACAGCCAAACAATACTGGTTGCCCATGATGATTTAGTCCAGTGAAAGCAGCAAACGGCACCCTGTACCGGTTTATTCGATATGCTGTATCAAATACAACAGCATCTCCAAAGTAACTATAGTTAATCTTGGAGTTTGCATCAGCCCAGAAAATATTTCCACCAGAGTGATCAGTGTCGCTCTGAATAGCATAAAAGAAAGCAGGATTTTCAGCCTGCATTCGTTTCAAATAGTCCAATACATGTTGACCCCCACCGCTGAGGGTCCTCTGCCTGCTACTACTCATCAATCTCTGAAGTAAAACAACATGATACAAAGATTAAATAATCATTTTCATAAAAACCCTAGACTAGCAATCAACTTTCTAGCAGGCTTCTATTTTCAAAGTAATGACTCGCAACAAGTGTATTCATTCTCAAAAAAATCAGTCTGAAAAATGTGAATGAAAGTAATTATCAAATTCCACAGTTGAAAAAAAAAAAAAATCCAGTTCGCAGATTTACAAGAGGAAAAATTTATAGCTAAAGCACCTTGTTTCTTACGGCTTCTCTGGTTATTCAAAACCCATGATTAATGTTTGTAGTGGAAATCCGCCAGAGGAGGAAGACGAAGAGACGGCAGCAAGTTCAAATCCGGCGTGCACCGTTGAAGAGGGCAGTAACCAGGGTGTGCGAAATCAAAGAGGCTCATGGAGAGAGTCGCTATACCAAAGGCAACAACTAGCCAGGGGTTAATTTCACTGGTGGTCCCCATCTTAGAGTCCTAGCACTTAACCATGCCTGTACTTTAATTTGTATCTTAAAAATACTTGAATTTTTATTATCCCACAGTTGAAATACTTCTGACCGGTTTTTTAATTTGCCGACTACTTGAGGTACACATGGCCTGACACGTCAGTTTTATTATGCTAACTCGGATTACCACTAAATGAAAGTACTCTCTCCCCTCTCTCCTCCAGGTCAGTAATTCCCTTTCTCTTTTCTTATCTATTTCCTCTCTCCATCTCTATACCCGCAGTTTTCATTCTTTATCACCCCTTCTCCATTGCCAATAAAATTTACACTCCTCCATCTTTTAACTCTCACTATAAATTGGTTCTTTGCTTTTAATCGTTTGATTTATTTAACATACCATTGTTTTTATGTGGCGGGTTGATCTTGGTAGTCAATCTGTTAGTAGTGGATGAGAATTCTTGGATAGAAAAGTTTACAGATGTGGGGTTGAAACTGTTCTGAGAACTATGTGGACCTAGAACAATCTTGGTAGGAGGTTCTAGGGTTGTAGTAATAACGGGGTAAAATATTTAATGTTTTTGGTGTGTATTGTCTTTGATTGTGATATAAAATTAGCGTTTGTTTGATTTTTCTTTACCTTAAATATAGAGTAGACAGTATTGTCACTTCATGGAATGGCTTGACCCAGTGGTTGAAGAACGATCAAGGAGGGTCGTAGGAGGTTTGCTAAAGAAGATAGAAAAAAGATGGAGAAAGAAAATAAAAGCAGGAAAGCAAAGTTTGAATGATTTTGTGCTATGACTGTTGTGTTATTAATTCTAATTAAAGGGTTTTATAGCAAATGCAGTGGTTGTACCTGCAACTAATTCACCTTGCTTGCTCTCCCTTAGGAACTAAAGTGGTTAGGGTTGTTTGTTAACTTAGGGTGGATTTTCTTAGTATTTTGTATGGTGAAGGGGAGCTTAAACCATTGTATCATGGCACATAAGATATTTTAATGATAATGCTTATTGATTAGTTGCTTAAAATATCCATTACTGCTCTTTAAGTGAATTTGCTTAAAATCTCCACTCCACTACTGGTACTGTTGTTTATGTGAAACGGAAAATTTAGAAAGTAATATCTCAACTATTGCTTACTTATGTGAAATGGAAAAATTACAAACTATAAGAACACACGTGTTGAAACAATACTGCCTGTATGTTGCATAAAATATTTATCATTATAGCTGTCATTATAATAAGATGAAGAACTAAACCATGTCTTTATATAAACTGAGCAAAAAGATGTGATTACAACCTGCTAAAAATATGAACGCTATTAGATTTGCAAAAAATGTTGTCTATTACATGATTCAAATGTGAAACAACTTTCTTTACTAGCGTTTCACTGCTGAAGCACAAAAAATTTTATCTATACCAATTTTATGAGAAATATCAGTTTAGTTCATCAACAAAATCAGAAATCCAAAATCAACCAACTGTATCAATAAAATTCTCCCTAGATTTAAACACAAACATGAAAACAAAATGAATTCTATCAAAGCTATTATTTCCAGATTGGCCTTTGTGCCTTACAATTCTTCTTTTTTGACTGTGTTCCTACAGTGGTTTGGGCTAAAGCGTTCCTTGCTAATGTAGCTGCTGAGCTATGCCTTCGAGTACTTTGTCTTGTCCATAATCCATCTTGGCCCTGGGTTAGCTGCATCACCTTCTACTCTAATAGGAGCTTCACTTAGTCCACTGTCTTGGCTCGGATTAGTTGCTTGAGTGACAATTTGACTGATACCCTAAAGTTTGATAATGTCACATATATAAAATTAAAAATTCGCAAGCATGTGTAAAATACATTAACATAATCCAAAGCACTTACATCCATCGTCCACCTAACTATTACAGGGACGCTTGTGGGCAGTGAACTCTCAACATGCTAGAGTTAATAGTTTGCTGTGAACTGTCAACATTGGCAGTTTTAGTTGTTTTCCTTTTCTACATTAAAGAGAAGCATATAGATGTGAATGAAAAGTGTTATAAATAAATAAGTATATTGCTAAAATTTTGGAAAAAGAGTTTACCTTTGTTTGACTACCAGTTTGAAATTGGCCTCCATGATACCTTTTATTATGACCCACTACTCCAAAAATACTGCACCTCTTGCTAACTAAACTTTTTTTGCAAGTTTTCCCTTAGCTGCAGCCTGTTCCAACTCCTCAACCTCTTTCCTCCTTACCTTTGCCTTTCTGTCCATGATACCTTTTATAGGGGTTGGTGCACTCATTGGGTTATCAACATTCATTTTGGGCCACATATCAAGCCCATTGATTGGATTTATAAACACACTATAAACTTTCATGTATGTTTCCACCTTGTAACATTCATGGACATAAGACTCTAGTTGTTCATCGTTTTCCAAAATACGTGCAATTGCATGTTCTCATGGAATACCAATAAGGTCCCAACGCCTATAAGAACATGTCCTTTTGTCCATGTCAACTATAAACTGACCATCTACCCCAGCAACTTGGACCCTCGGACCCCCAGTGAATGTAGGTTCAAAATAATGTGCAAATTCTCTATTTTCATTTAATTTTTTCTAAATCTTAGGGCATAAAGGTCCTTGCACTTTTTCCATTTGTTCTATTTTCCTATATAACCTTTTCGTCAGTTTAGTTCTAATCATTTCAAGCATGGTTAATATAGGTTGGTCTCTAGCATCCAATATGTACTTATTGAAGGACTCACATAAATTATTTGTAAGCATATCACATTTAATGTTTGTTTTAAAACATGCTTTAGACCAGTTGGCACACGACCTTTGTCTCAACCACTCTCTAGCCTGTGGATTAACCTTTTCAATTACATCTAAATATTTTTTAAGCTTAGCATCATAGCTGGTCCTAGCACAATCCCACATCATATCCTTCATCTCTTTCCCTTTAAAGTGTGCCCTATAGTTACTACATAAATACCTAACAGACATTTTGTTTTTGTTAAGAATCCCACATCGACTAAACACCAAATCCACAAAAGGGCATATAAGGGTGCTAAGTTAGCTAGCTAATGGTTAGTATCGATCTTTTAGCATTAGTTGGCCCAAGCCAAAGTAAGCCTAGATCATACGTTTTAACCTCATGGGATTCTTACCTCTTACTCAATTCATCTATACCTTTTCAACTTCTAATATGGTATCAAAACAGGTCCGACCCGGTCCAATTATTCCTCAATTCACCGGTGTTGCCGCTACATTTCAATTCGGGCTCTCGTCTAGATGTCCAGTCCTTAGCGAGGTCCATCCAATTTCATAGGCAAAAAGCCTAGTTCAATTTCAGAGAGAGGATTTCAAGTTTCAAGTGTCAACCGAAAGTCCAGTCCCGGTTGCACTTGAGGGGGAGTGTTTAGAATCCCACATCGACTAAATACCAAATCCACAAAGGGTATATAAGGGTGCTAAGTTAGCTAGCTAGTGGTTAGTACTAATCTTTTAGCATTAGTTGGCCCAAGCCAAAGTAAGCCACATCATACGTTTTCACCTCATGGGGTTCTTACCTCTTACTCAATTCACCTCTACCTTTTCAACTTCTAATAGTGTTCAACACCCTCCCAATTACTATTAATCACACTAATAAGATAACCATCCAAAAACAACAATGAGGAGAACCAGATTGGGTTTTCATGCAAAAAAAAAAAAAAAAAAATAAATCTTTTAGCATTAGTTGCCCAAGCCAAAGTAAGCCACATCATACGTTTTCACCTCATGGGGTTCTTACCTCTTTACGTCAAATTTTCACCTCTTTACCTTTTCAACTTCTAATAGTGTTCAAAACCCTCCCAATTACTATTAATCACATAAAAGATAACCATTCCAAAACAAACAATTGGGAGGAACCAGATTGGGTTTTTTCATGGCAAAAAAAAAAAAAAAAAAAAGAGAGAAGAAAAAAAAACAGAATTAGTAAAATTTTATCTTCAGAAATAACTGCTATTAAATGAAAAATTAAACTTAGAAACATTATGGAAGAACACTATATGTTTGTTTGTCACTCATGAAGGAAAAGTGATGGAAATTATTGAGCTTCTAAGTCCTCCTTCAGGTAGCTCCAAGATCCACCCAAGTCTCCATATTTCATTTTTTTACAACAGCATAGGCAATAGGAGATTGCAGTCAATTAGAGTCAAAGAAGAATTAACTGTCAATAGTTGGCCTCATATGTTCCTTTTCAACCAACACCATCAACACAAACAAGTTTCTAAGATTCTCTTTGATATGCCTTTTTAGAGGCTCAAGATAGATGTAAATTCCATCAAAAACACCTCTTTCACTCTTTAAAATCATGAACTACCTGTATTTGTTTCTTAAGATTTCTGCCCTATAGTCATGTAAAAAGGAAAAAACTACCTACCTTCATCCCCATTGGATGATTTTTAAGGGCCTTATCTTTAGCCCTCCAAGCCTTCATTCTACCTACAGTGTACTGTCATGGTTCCTTTTATTCACACTAATAAAATGGCCCAATCCCAACTAGGATTGGTTATAAAATCCTCCAAATTACATTTTTAGACAAAACATGTAGTTAGTCACATTGGAAATTAGCTAAAACAACTTTTAGCACATGTATGGTTTTATTAAAACTATCTGTCTTTATTTGGAAAGTGGGGTTCTCATTGGTCATCTTTTGGGTTTAAACTTACTAGCCAAATATCCTTCCACTCACATCCCTTTGTGGCACCTAGTTTGGAATTTTGCCTATTGTTTTTCTTACTTAAAACACACTTGAATCTATTCAGGATAGCATAATTCCTTTACCATGGTTCCTTGAACTTCTTCCTATTCTTAAACAACATCCCAACCTTTAAATGTTGGACTCAACATGTCCTTTTAACATAAAATAAGGAACCTTATTCTCCTTTCATCCTTTGAGTTAGATTCTGTTTGTAATTCATCAGAGGGGGCCATACTCAAAGGATTCATCGCCAACATCTCCTTAAAATTGTTG